TGACTAACTCGACAAACACAAGGAATGGGGAAAGGATTCCCTATTTAATAAATGGTGTTGGGAAAACTGGCTAGCCATATGCAGACAGCTGAAACTGGATCACTTCCTTACACCTTATACGAAACTCCAGATGGATTAAAGATTTAAACAAAAGACCTGACACCACTAGAAGAAAACCTAGGCGATACCATTCAGGACAATAGGCTTCATGACTTCATGACTGAAACATCAAAAGCAATGGCAACAAAAGCCAAAATAGACAAATGAGATCTAACTAAATTTAAGAGCTTCTGCACAGCAAAAGAAAGTATCATTAGAGTGAGCTGCTAGCCAACAGAATGGGAAAAAATTTCTGCAACCTACTCATCTGACAAAGGGCTAATATCCAAAATCTACAAAGAACTTAGATTTACGAGTTTACAAAACAACCTCATCACAAAATGGGTGAAGAATATGAACAGACACTTTTCAAAAGAAAACATTTGTGCAGCCAAGAAATATATGAAAAACTCATCTTTGCTGGTCATTAGAGCAATGCAAATCAAAACCACATAGAGATACCATCTCATGCTAGTTAGAATGGTGATCATTAAAAAATCAGGAGACAATAGATTCTGGAGAGGATGTGGAGAAATAAGAATGCTTTTACACTGTTGCTGGGGGTGTAAGTTAGTTCAACCATTATGGAGGACAGTGTAGCAATTCCTCAGGGACCTAGAAATAGAAATACCATTTGACCCAGCAATCCCATTACTGGGTATATACCCGAAGGATTATAAATCATTCTAGTATAAAGACACATGCACACATATGTTCATTGTGTCATACCCCAGAACTTAAAATATATTTTAAAAAATTAAAAAATGTAAAACAGTAAAAAAAATCTACTAAAAAAAAGGATATTAAGGTGAGAGGCATATGTTTTTGGAATATCAACAAGGCCAGCGTTTAACAGGTTATGTCAAAAGGTAACAGGAAGGTAAGGTAACCTAAAACCTCTGCTGTGAATAAAAGTGTGGAGAAACAGAGGGTCTGGGTTGATTGGTTGCGTTTTGCCCTCTGAAAGCAGCCAACGACCATCCCTAGCCCACTTGAAACACTGTAATGGTGTGAGAGTGCATTCATTCATCCATCGCTGAGTCAGGGTCTGCAGGTCAGACTTCCGCAGGTGGTGAGTACCACATCTCACATACATACATATCTATAAATATGAATATATCTGTCATCATATATCTGTCCTTATATTAAACTAAATATTATTTCATTTAGTTTTAGTTTTGAGACTAGGTCTTGCTCTGTCACCCAGGTTGGAGTGCAGTGGCAGGAATACAGCCCTTTGTAGCTTTGACCCCCTGGGCTGGGACCACCGGTGTGTGCTGCCACCCCTTGCTAATATTTAAAAAATGTTTTATAGAGACAGTGTCTTACATGTTGTCCAGGCTGGTCTCAGACTCCTGGGCCCAAGTAGTCCTTCCACCTTCCTTCCCAAAGTGCTGGGATTACAGATGTGAGCTACTGCAGCTTTTAAACTGACATCTCCAGCACTGATCCATTATCACATGGTTCGTGTTGACCTTCTCACCCTGGTTGCTTGAAATCTTTACTGTAGTTTTGAATATAGTTGTGCTTACAGCTACCATTTTGATTTCTTTCTTTCTTTCTTTTTTTTTTTTTGAGGTGGAATCTTACTTTTCACCCAGGCTGGAGTCCAGTGGTACAATTGCAGCTCATTGCAACCTCCGCCTCCCAGGTTCAAGCAATTCTCCTGCTTCAGCCTCCAAAGTAGCTGAGATTATAGATGCATGCCACCATGCCCAGCTAATTTTTATACTTTCAGTGGAGACAGCATTTCACTATGTTGGCCAGGCTGGTCTCAAACTCCTGAGTTTTAGTGATCCACTCACCTTGGCCTCCCAAAGTGTTGGGATTACAGGTGTGAGCCACCACATCTGGCTCATTTTGCTTTTATTAAAAAATTTTTTCCCTATCTATGCTTTGCTTCCTTTTCTTATTTTTCTGCCTTCTTTTGGAATAATTCAATATTTTTAGTGTTTTATTTTATTTTGTTTATTGGCTTATTATCTGTACCTTGCAGTTTTATTCTTTAGTGATTACTCTAGGACTTACAATATGCATCTTTAACTCACATCAGATGGCTTTCATATGACATCACTTCATGTTGATTTTGTTTTGTTTTGTTGTTTTGAGACAGAGTTTCACTCTTGTTGCCCAGCCTGGAGTGCAGTGGCGTGATCTCAGCTCACCGCAACCACTGCCTCCTGGGCTCAAGCAATTCTCCTGCCTCAGCCTCCCGAGTAGCTGGGACTACAGGCATGTGCCACTATGCCCAGCTAACTTTTGTATTTTTAGTAAAGACGGGGTTTCATCATGTTGACCAGGATGGTCTCGATCTCTTAACCTCGTGATCCACCCGCCTCGGCCTCCCAAAGTGCTGGGATTATAGGCATGAGCCACTGCGCCCGGCCACTTCATGTTGAATATGAACCTTACAACAGTATATTTACTTTCCCATTCTTTTTTTTTTTTTTTTTTGCCACACATTGCAGTTTTATATTTAAAAATTTTTGTGATAAACAATCTTTTGATAAACAACTGATGTGGTTTCTGTTGTCTTTACTTGACCCTGATTGGTAAAATATTTGCATTGTTATTTTTTTATTAAAACATTTTTTAAAATTATTATTCTTTTCCTACTCTTAGATCTGACATAGGTAAAATATTTGTGAACAGAAGCGATAGCAAAAAGCAGATCCTCAAAGATGAGGTTCTGAGATTACTTGGAAGGTCCTTGGTGGTGAACATCATGCTCAATTCTCTATCTATGGGAAATAAGATTCTGGCACTCTACGGCATACAAAGGCATTATAACTAACCAAATTGTCACGTGTTATTGAAATTGACAATTTTCTTAGTGAAGCAGGTGCCTTGGATCATGAGGTGACTCCTGTACTTGACTTTGTGAGCAGTACAAGGACTGTGGAAGAAGGGTGGTTACTCCTAACTACATTAAGTATGTTACCCTAAAGAAATGACAAGTGGTTTACATGCTCAGCTAGAGGCGAAGTCTGAGAACCAGAGAGCTTTTTAAATTTATTTTATTTATTTACATATTTTTATTTTTAAGAGTCTCACTTTGTCACCAAGGCTGGAGTGCAGTAGCACAATCTCTGCTCACTGCAGTTTCTGCCTCCTGGGCTCAAGTGATTCTTGTCCCTCAGCCTCCTAAGTAGCTGGAATTACAGGTGTGTGCCACCATGACCTGGCAAATTTTTGTATTTTTAGTAGAGCCAAGGTTTTACCATGTTGTCCAGGCTGGTCTCGAACTCTTGACCTGAAGTGATCCACCCGCCTTGTCCTCCCAGAGTGCTGTGATTATAGGTGTGAGCCACCATACCTAGTCCCAGAGAGTTTTTATGCAAGTCTTCAGCTACTTATGTATTCTTATTGCCATAGGGCTGACCTCGTAGAAGTCAAATACATAATTGTGCAATGTCCTGAATTACATTAGGAATTGAGTTCAAAGTTTTTCTGTGACTCTCCTGTGAAAAGTAGAACATTGATTGAAGTGGGTACATAAGGTAGCATTTAAATGGATTGCTTCCATTTCACCATCGCATACAATTTGTTATAATATTTATATGACTTTTTATTAGGTTAAGAAAGAATGCTTATTTTCTTCATTTATTTGTGACTTTTGGCCATAAATTGGTGTTGAATATTATCAAACGCTTTTGTGTATTTACTGAGATAATCACATTTTTCTTTAATCTTGGAGAAATAAGTTAGCAGATTCTTTTTGCTTGTGAACATGAGAGGCAGAGACAATTGTATTTAGTTCATGAACACTGTCACTACTGGTTCAGGAAAGACTACCTTTATATAATGATGTATCACCTCTTATCCCTATTTTCTACTTCCTTTCTCTGGAACTCAGAAACCATTAAGGGAGCTTTGTAATGAAAGATTAAATTTCCAACCACCACAATTGAATGAAAGCTTGAAACAGAAATAAAGTTATAGAAAATTTAAAAATGTTCTGTTTCTTGCATGCCTAGGTTGTGGAACAAGATTGGTATCAGATACAGAAAGAATTCGGTTTCAATAAGAACTCCTGATACCTATAAAAATATTAAGTGAACAGCTAAAAAGATAATTGCAGAATTGTGTAAAATAACCATTTTCACTTTCTCCCAAGCTTTATGCATGTATATGCACAGCTTAAAGTAGCTTTGTGTGTTTTTGTCATTTGTAGAAATTCACTCTCTACAGAGTATTATCAAGTAAGTGACAATATTCAATCATTGAGTTATTTATTCAGCAACATATTGTTGAAGTCTTAGTATGTTTCAGCTGCTGTGACAGCAAATAAAACAATCCCTATTCCTGGTGAAGTCACTGCCCGGTGAGAGAAAGAGACAAGAACATAGGAAATTTCAAAATAGAGTCCTGAGTGCAATACTAACCCTAAGCACAGAGTGCCAAAGAAAGGCAGTGAAGTGGCCAATGAGCTTGGGGTTCAAGCAAGGGCAAGGTACCCTGCCCATCATAATGATAATTTAGGATATACTTTATGAAAATTATACAGAAAGTCAGTCTCCAAACTCTGCTATGTTTCAGATACACCCCACATCTTCCTTTACTGTAATAGGAGCAGAAAGGTAATGATAATGACTGTATGCACTTGGCTTAATTTTTCTTCAAGAATTGGACTGCAAAATCGTACATACCTTTGGTAACAATTTTCCCTCTTTTTTCTGAATCATAAAAGCTCTGTTTAAATGATCAATATTTATGTCAACTAAATGCGGATAAGAAGCATTACCATATATAATATGCATTTGCTAGGTATATACATAATTTTATGTTATGAAAATAAACCAATACTTAGCAATCACTACATAAACATATTCAACTCAGTAGGCAACATTTTCAGAACTTGGAGTCCATGGAAGAAAAATCACAAAACAAAATCTTGGTGGTGAAGAGGAGGGAGCTCTGGTTTATTTTCAATTAGAGGGTGTGACTCTCTTCCTGACCAGACGCTTATCAGTTACTTACTAAGATAAATAGAAAAATTAATTATTACTAAGTGTAGTTGGTTTATTGACAATATATTTAAACATATAAATATGACTTTATGAGAAAAATAAGATAAGATATCCTTGGTGATGAAGAGCTGAGGATTTTTTTTGTTTTTATTTTCTATCAGAAGGCATGAGTCTTCCCTTCAGTCTCCTCATGGCTGATTTAATTTCATGGTTCCTCAGAGTGTAGATCAAGGGGTTGAGCAGAGGGGAGATGATAGTGAAGGTGACAGAGATGGCCTTATCCGTGGGGAGGGCAGTGAAGGGCCGGGCATAGACATAGATGCAGGGCACGAAATGCAGGGTCACTACAGTAATGTGAGAGGTGCATGTGGAGATGGCTTTCCTCCTGCCTTTCCCTGCCTGAGACTTGAGTAATGATAATATGACCACGTAGGACACCAGGAGCAGGAAAAACCACAGTGTGGTGAGCAGCCCATTGTTGGAAATCATTAGTAGTTCAAGTATGAAAACATCTGTAAGGGCGAGTTTGAGAACCTGGGGGACATCACAATAGAAAGTGTCAAGAACATTGGGTCCACAGAAAGGGAGAGGGAGCAACAGGGAAATCTGTACGATGGAGTGGACAAAGCCCCCCACCCAGGCAGCCACTGTTAGCCCAATGCAACGGTCTCTACTCATGATGGTCACATAGTGCAGGGGCTTGGAGATGGCCACATATCGATCCAATGCCATCACTGATAGAGAAAATACATCTACCCCTCCAATAAGATGGAAGAGAAACATCTGAGTGAAGCAACCGTTGAAGGAGATGGTCTTTGTCTCAGACAGAAGATCCACCAGAACCTTGGGCGCTGTGATGGAGGAGAAGCAGATATCGGCAATAGATAAGTTACGGAGCAAAAAATACATGGGCGTGTGAAGGCGAGATTCACAGGTGACAGTGACCGTGATAAGGAGGTTTCCCAGCAGAGTCGTCACATACACCAAGAGTAGGAAAAGAAATAGGACCAAACTAGCTTCCCGATTCTGGGTTAGGCCAAGGAAAATAAATTCTTTTACACTGGTGCAGTTTTTCATCTCCATCGAATCATCCTCTTTTTTTTCTCTTTGGTTTTAAGCCATGTCATATGAAAGCACTGAGATATTTATTTTGTTGTCTTCCTAAGCATCTACAATGCAGTGCAGTAACTTCCCATGTGGTTGTAGTTTTTGCAATTTGTTGCATTGTTCACGTTTTTCAAATTACAGTTGGTTTGATGATAAAATCAAATTATCATATGTAAAGTCATTCAATAAGTCTTCTCCTATAGAACTATTTTGGGAAAGAAAATATGTTAAGTAGTGACATAGTGCATTAAAAAAATCAATTACCCAAGTTTAATTTGATGTTTTTGGTACAAAACTCCCAATGTAATAAATCTCTCTTCACTTTATTCTGCTTTAAGGACATCTTTTCATCTCTTTTGTCACTTATAGTGCTTTGGAGGTCAGAACGTTCTGGCTTTACCAAAAGATAGATGTGAAAGTACCATCATCCAGGTTTTTGTTTATGTTGTGGCTGCTCCTGTTTTATGGTCACTATTATTATTATCAGTTATTTTTTTGCCCTGCATAGGAATACATTTTGATAGAAACCAACAGAAGTTTTGAAAATCAGAAAGGTGATTTTTTTTCCCCAAAGGAAGAATTTTCTTGCTGAGAGAGGAAGTGGGATGTAGTGAAGAGAACTCTGGATTGAGAAGACTGGAGCATTGGTTCCATCTGGTTTTGATTCTGCCATCAACTAGCTGAATACTGTGGCTCTGACTCCTCAGCTCTGCCTTGTGTTAGATAGATCCTGCATGGGTAACATCAGTTTGAGTCAGAAGAGAGGCAGGAATCTGATTCAAGGGAAAGGTTCACTTGAGAGAGTACAAGATTGAGTGAGGCAACATAGGGAGACTCTCACTACAAAAAATAAAAAAATTAGCCATGCCTGGTGGCACACACCTGTGGTCCCAGCTACTTAGGAAGCTGAAGTGGGAGGATCACTTGAGCCCTGGAAGTCCAGGCTGCAGTGAGCTGTGATTGCACCTCATACTCCAGCCTGGGTGACAGAGTAAGACCCTGTCTTAGAAAACAAAAAAGCAGACTGAGTGAGGGTACAGACCCTGGGATGTGAATGTTGATGATGAATTTCAGGCTCTGTTGAAAGGTCTGACCTCCTGTTCCGTTTTTCTTCCCCCTTTCCTGTCTTCACCAACAGTAGATCCAATTGCAGGTGGGTGGGAAAAAAACCAGCTGGAGAGCCTTGATGTCCCTGCAATCCCCATACCCCAAGAGATAAGCTGTCCTGTTATTCTCTTATGTATTCCTATAAAGAAGGTTTCTTTAAAAGTTTCCCCATGCAGATAAAGAAATGATCTTCAGAAAGGTGGGCTCATTTTCTCAAACTCACAGCAGTAGTGAGGGGTGGAACTGGTAAACAGATGGGATTCTGTTTACCTCCAAAGCTTACAACATTGCATGTGTTATAATGTATGATCATCGTTTAAGCATTCAGTTGGTCAGTTATTTCTTCCTATTTACTTAGTGTAAAGGCAGCAGAAAAACCGTCTCAGATGCACTGCTCACTACAAAATTTTCAGGTAAGTTTGGATCAGTATAGGTCCCGCCCAGTGTTCCACATCTCTGCAGCACTTTCAATAAGACTGTGCTGCAGAAATTGATCTAATTAACATGGAACCTGACTTCTTAATGTTGGGTTTGATTACATTCCTGACCCTCCATTTATTAGGCCAGTGAGAAGTCTTTTGTTTAGCCAGTGAATCCTTCAGTCTTTCGGCACACATTTTGTAATCTCTGGAGTGTGGCTAGGATTTTGCTAGTACTAGCAATATACACATGGGCACAACGAAGGTCTTACTCTGGAGCAATTTCCACTCTGATGGAAGATATAAATATGTTAGTGCATAATCACACATGGGAGATGATGCTGGTACCAATATAGTGCTGTGGAAACACATAACACTCTAGCTGAGGCCAGTGCCGGAAGGATTCCTAGAGGAGGGGAAACTTCCCTCAATTTAGATGAATTTCCAGGAAACAGAAGCAGGTTGTATCATGCAAAGGAAACAGCCTATAAAACGTCAGTCAGTGGTGAAGATGACATGCTTATATAGAGAACATTGGGAAATTCAGTAAGGTTGGCACAGAAGGAGGAAGTGTGGAATGGAAGGAGATTTTTATTAGTAATAGAAACTTCATTAATAAAAGATATATTATTACATTCAATGGTGCCTAGGTATTGTTTGGTTAGTGAATAAATGGTCTAAGCCTACTGATCTCTTTGTTCTCCTAATCAGAATAGGAAAGTCTGATGAATGAATAGAATAGAAATGTTCATCCATGGCGGGCAGGGACAATGCCCTTTGACTTCTTTACTCTCAACTCTGATTGATGAACTGTATTACATGCAGTGGGGTGTTCTGGAAAATGGCGATGGAAGGTTATGGATCCTGCTTGAGTGTTGGGATGAGAAAAAGACAGTGACCCCTTCTGGGAGGCCACCGATACTGTATCATCACACTTTCTTCTGCCCTATCCCTCTTTGGATCAAAGCTTAGTGGGTGGGGAGGGTCACATAGCAATAAGAGTCATTGTCATCTTTAGAATAATGCCTATGTTTATCAGCTGTCATCGATCATTTGAAAGAAAATTTATAATTATTATTACTTGCGCCACCTTATACATAACCAGTGGACATTTATCGCAATCTTCAAATGTATATGGATAAGTTGGGCCACGTTTCTAAAGTGTTTGCAGACCAACAGAAATGGAAGATTTATGCGAATAAGTGAACATGACATATAATAAAAAGTGAGCTGTATTGTAAGAGAAGATTTGGGTGACATAGCACATATGGTAGGAGATATGATTATTCCTGGCAGAAACAAAATCCGCTATTTGAGTCTTCTGCACATGTGCAGTGGTATAAAAACTCTATTTAATTCTCACCACCATCCATTAGATAAGTCTACACTAGTAGGTTTTGTTTTTTTTTGCACTAGTGTTAATCTGGTCTTTCATATGGAATATAGCATGAATCTTTGGTGAAGAAAGGATGTATGAAATGGAAGGTATGGAAACAGGATGAAAGATACAATATTTAATTTTTTCCCCAAGTTCAGTCAATATAGGTCGAAACTTTGTATTGCAAAAACATTTGAAAAAGTCTTTCTGAAGGTAAGCATTTGGCAGAAAGTGGCTCTGGAAGCCCTTTTTGCATTGACCTTAGGTTGAGGTGGCTTCACATATAAGCAACTCAGGGTCATAAGCGAATGCGTGGTGCCTCCTCTCACACCAAATGGATCACATTTCTGGCATCTCTCTGAATACAATATCAATTTTTCCAATATTTAACACCCACCTTTGTTGTTTCTGTCACTGAGATGATTATTTGTACTCTGAAGCATTTGATATACCTGGAAAATATTCAAAGTAAAATTAGTCATACATAATCAATAACAACATCTCAATTTGACTATGCATAACGTTAACCTTAACTAGAAGTTTTTCTTTACCTAGTTCCTTTGATCCTAAAACTCCAGCTACATATTGGATGTTATTAGTTACAGTGCATAACAGAAGACTGCTGACATTAATTCTTGGAAATCTTGTCTAAAGGTTAAGCCTTTTACGATGCTAAATATCTTAGTGTCTTTGCTCCACTCTTGGAGAGAAAGGTCAGACTCAAGGAATCACATCTTTAAAAGTTCTTCCATTGTGTCCTCGACTTATGTTAAAATCTCTGAGGCTCATGCTTAATTTATGAAATGGAAAGGGAATGTTATTGGACAACAGAGTAGAAGTCAAGTGGCTGATTTCGCTGTTGGTGATGGAGTTTCAATGGGAGTTATTAAAATATTACCAAAACATGAGCGTGTATACACAGACACATATGGGTACATTTTGGTTGGTGTCCAAATCCTCTACAGGCAATATATCTTTAACCACAGCTCAATAAGAACTTTGTTAATACATGCCAAATGCTGTGCCAGAGAGACTTTGAGTCCAATTTTCACAGCTTGCAAGGCTCAGAGGACATCATTTACCTGTGGGTTCCAATTAGATTGCCAAAAACCTAGGAGAACTGGACCTCAAGTAATTTGCTACTAGTCCAGTTTCTAATTAAACACAGAATGAATCTAGCCCCATGATGCATGTTTTTGTTTTTTTCACACACACACACAACACACACACACACACACACACACACACACACACTACTGTTCATCTCACTTGACTATAACCATGATGTTTTAATAAATGTCCATATAAACAGAAACAACTTAAGTGACATTTGGGGAATATACATTTTTCTGTTTCCAATACTCTACTTTTGTGAACTCTTTCAATTTGGAGACAGATGAGTCAGTGTAATATAATGAAACTGTGCACATAAATGCAATCCTTATTTTAGTCTAACTCAATGTATTGAAAGGCTTAATTTTACATAGAACTTACACCTGCTCTTTCCAGAATGACAAACCACCTGTTGATCCAGCAATTCCACAGCTTGGTATATAGCCAAAAGAGAGGAAATCAACATATTGAAAAGATAACTGTACTCTCATGTTTATTGCAGCACTACTCATAATAGCAGAAATATGGAGTTAATATAATTGTCTATTAATGGATGAATGGATAAAGAAAATATGGTAAATAAACACAAGAAAATATTATTCAGCCATAGAAAGAATAAAATCCTGTCATTTGCAGCGACATAGAAAGAACTGGACATCATTATGTTACATGAAATAAGACAATCACAGAAAGATAATTATCACATATCTCACTAATACATGGGAGCTAAAAAGGTGGATCTCATGAAGATAGAGAGTAGATTAATGGTTATCAGAGGCAGGGAAAAATAGAGGGAAGAAAGTTTGATTAATGAGGACAGATACGCAGTTTTACAGAAGGAATAAGACCTAGTGTTAGATCAGTAGAGTGACTATATTTTACAATAATCTATTGTATATTTCAAAATAGCTGAAAGAGAAAAATCCAAATGGTTGCAGCATAAAGATAAATATTTAAGGTGATAGATATTCCAAATATACTTTTTTGATCTTTATAAATTATATAAATATATTAAATTATCACATATGCCCTAAAACTGTATTCATATATTATGTATAAATTTAAAAATTAAGATAAATAAAAAATCAATTTTTTGAACAGATACAGAGCTGTTTAGACAAAATAATCTTATGTTAGTTTTGGTGATTTGTGTCTTATGAAGAATTTGCCCAATTTATTTATTTATTTATTTTATTTTTCCATAAGTTATTGGGGTACAGGAGGTATTTGGTTATATGAGTAAGCTCTTTAGTGGTGATTTGTGAGATTTTGGTGTACCCACCACCCAAGCAGTATACACTGCACCATATTTATAGTCTTTTATCCCTCACCCCATCCCACTTTTACCCCAAGTCCCCAAAGTCCATTTATCTTTTTTAAAAAATATGTATATTTTATTGCACTTTATGTTCTGGGGTACATGTGCAGAACATGCAGGATTGTTGCATAGGTACATACATGGCAGTGTGGTTTGCTGCCTCCATCCCCTCGCCACCTATATCTGGCATTTCTCCCCATGTTATACCACCCCAAGTCTCTACCCGCTGCTGTCCCGCCCCTAGTCCCCTACAACAGACCCCAGTGTGTGATGCTCCCCTCCCTGTGTTCATGTGTTCTCATTGTTCAACACCCACCTGTGAGTGAGAACATGCAGTGTTTGATTTTCTGTTCTTGTGTCAGTTTGCTGAGAATGATGGTTTCCAGATTCATCCATATCCCTATAAAGGACATGAACTCATCATTTTTTAATGGCTGCATAGTATTCCACGGTGTATACGTGCCGTATTTTCCTTGTCCAGTCTATCATTGATAGCCATTTGGGTTGGTTCCAGGTCTTTGCTATTGTAAACAGTGCTGCAATGAACATATGTGTCTATGTGTCTTTATAATAGAACAATTTATAATCCTTTGGATATATACCCAGTAATGGGATTGCTGGGTCAAACGGAATTTCTACTTCTAGGTCCTTAAGGAATTGCCACACTTTCCACAATGGTTGAACTAATTTACATTTCCACCAACAATGTAAAAGTGTTCCTATTTCTCCACATCCTCTTCAGCATCTGTCTCCAGATTTTTTAATGATTGCCATTCTAACGGCGTGAGATGGTATCCCAATGTGGTTTTGATTTGCATTTCTCTAATGACCAGTGATGATGAGCATTTTTTCATATGTTTGTTGGCTTCATATATGTCTTCTTTTGCAAAGTGTATGTTCATGTCATTCACCCACTTTTGAATGGGTTTGTTTGTTTTTTTTCTTGTAAATCTGTTTTGGTTGTTTGTAGATTCTAAATATTAGCCCTTTGTCAGATAGGTAGATTGCAAAAATTTTTTCCCGTTCTGTTGATTGCCGGTTCACTCTAATAATTGTTTCTTCTGCTGTGCAGAAGTTCTGGAGTTTAATTAGGTGCCATCTGTCTATTTTGGCTTTTGTTGCCAATGCTTTTGGTGTT